CAAGGCTTCTCCATGAAAAAGTTGTAGTGCAGAAACTTGCTTCCCATGAACCCTAGTAGAAGTCACAACTGGTACCATGCAAGGGGAGCGCTYRTCCAAGATGCATAGAGAGTTGATATGAGGCAAGAGTGTTGCTTCGGCTTGTCTCATGAAGTCCATTCCCAAGACAACTCGGAAGTCATCCAGGGGTACCACTGAAAGATTAATCTTGCTTGTCCACGGCCCAACTTGGAGGTCAACCCCATGAGCCATGCCTTCAATCGCCTTTGCCCCAGAGTTCACGGCCTTGAGGCACCCTGTCTCTTTCACAGTGTTCAAATTGAGTCGCTTGGCCTCGACAACTGAAATGAAGTTGTGGGAGGCCCCTGTATCAACAAGGGCTTGAGTCGGCTTCCCGCCGAGGATGATGTCTACATACTTCAGCCCCCTTTGGGCTTTCTTTGGCCTTCCATGATTGGCCTCTTTCTTCACCATGGCGTTGAAGAGTTGAACGGTGCCCACTCTTGGCGCCTGCACAGACTTTTCCTCATCACTTTGCTCATCATCACTGAGCTTGGCAACAAGGGCATTGATCTTCTTCTTGGTTGGGCAGTTGCGAACCAAGTGATTTCCCCCACAAAGGAAGCAAGAAATTGGGGACCCAGCGGTTCTGGGCTTGTAATGGTGCTGAGGGCCTTGCTCTCCTTGTGGCTTCTTCCCATAGTCTTGTCTTGTTGGCTTGTTGAAGCTGGAGTTGTCGTACGGAGGGCGTGGGCGACTTGCTCCCCCACTCAAATTAGGGGAACGCGGACTTTCTGGCTTAGGGGCTTCTTCATCTAACAAACTGGTCTCATTGAGTTGCTCCGCCACTGCCATTGCCAAGGCGAGGTCCTGTATGTTGCAGCGTTGGAGTTCTAGTTCGGCCCATGGCTTCAGTCGATCCATGAAGTTAAACAGTAGATCCTTGTCGGACATGTCCGTGATCTCCAAGGTAAGGGCTGAAAACTCTTTAACATAATCATGGAGTGAGTCCCCATGCTTGAGTGCTTTCAACTTCTTTCGCGCCAGGTACTCCACGTTTTCTAGGTAGAATTGCCGCTTTAGTTCTCGCTTGAAATCAGCCCATGTCTTAATGGTGCGCGTACCCCGTTCAATGTCTTGGCATCGCTTGCGCCACCGTAGCATAGCAATGTCAGTCAAATACATGATAACCGTACGAATTTGCATTAGGTCATCATCAATGCCAGCGGCATGGAAATATTGTTCCATTTGCCACAAAAAGTTGTCAAGTTCTCTCGCATCTCGGGAGCCGGCATAAGGTGTGGGCTCTCGAATCTTCACACGAGTAGGGGCCAGTGTTGTGGAGGAGCTTGGAGCGCTGGCCACTAATCTCTTGAGGAGCGTCATGTCTCCTCTTAGTTTGTCCATTTGAGTCTGGAGGTCAGAAGGAGAGGCCATGGCTACTTTCATGGCCATCCATTCAGCTCTCATCTCATCCACCTGGTCTTGGATGTCGGATCGAGATGAGCTCCCTTCTTGTTGGGATTTTGTTCCAAGSACTTCCTTGAGGGTTCTATTCAGGACGTCTTGGACCTCGTTCATAATGCCATTTAAGCGGGCTTCTAGCTCCACCACGGAGCTCTCAATTGTTTCCACATTCAAGTGGATTTCCTCTACTCGGTCACGCATCTCCCCGACAGTCACTTCATAGTGAAGGATGCGTGTGTCGAAGGCAGCAAGCGTGTCAACTAACTTGTCAAGCTTGCTTGTCTTGGATGTGCGACCCCTCGGGGCCTTCTCTGCTGAGGCTTCATCGCCTAGAGCCTCATCGCTCTCTCTCACATGGGCAAGGCCATGCCCAATCTCGTTGGTGAGTTCCTTGTTGTGCTTCATTGCGCCACCACTAGTGTTGCTGTGCAAGGGTCACGAGTGTTGAGGAGGTCCCGTGCAGCGCTCGATGGGGTCGAGAAAGCCTACGAATGCAAGCAACAACACACAAAAGGCAACAAGAACGCATACAGATTAGACAAAAGGTAACTTGTATTGCACACAATACAGTGTCGAGGGGATCTCATGCTTAACCTTTACGCGCTTATGAACTCACTCGACTACCTACCTCCCCTCAAAGAGTACGTTAAGCTTTTGGGGGAGTGACAACAGGAAACATAAAAAGGATGAAAAATCATATTATGTATTTACAATAACGCCCTTGGCGGTCGCCCCTTACAAAATACATGAGTAGCCCACCCTTGACACACATGCTGACACCTTGAAGGCACACGGTTGGCACCACATAGTAAAATGTCAATAAATGCCTATCCGTTTCAGGAAGCTTCCAAAATAAGGCTTTTTAAAACGGGAGAGAAACACATAAACAGAAGTTTGCAAAGCTGATGGGGCAC